AAAGAAATTAATTTCTAAGGGAATTCAAAAGCTGATCACTTAATCGCCTGCGGGAATGGCGCCAATGGTGGACGGCGCTACACCTTCTTTATTAGGCTAACCCTTTAATAAGTGTTTCACCTGTATTATTTTTATGAAGGCCCACGCCCCTTAATGTTTGTAAAATAAATCAAGGAAAAATTAAAAATTTTGGCCGCTTTTACATTTTCCCCGATAAATACTGATAATTGTCTCGCCATAGACGAACAACGAACCCTATACTTCTTATTGGATATTTTTAGCCATATTTGCTTACGCTGAGCTTCGATTCTACGACTATAAATGCGCATGGCGTGGTCGAAGGGCGCTTTACTGTATGCACTCTCCGCTCTCCCCCCTCCCCTGGAACGTCTCATCGCTGCGTAACCAGCCGTCTCTTATCGCCCCCCCTCCCCTTTTCCCACGACTCGCTTGTATAAAACGACGAACGATATTGACCACATGCTTTAACTTGTACCCGTTTCCGTATAATTGCATTGGCAAATGGACACTTATCGAAAGCACGCGTACGTTTGCCAACAGCTCTTCTAGGTTACAAATGAACCACAAAATGATCATGTAAACACTATACGGCTCAAACAGTTGCAGACGTGTTCTGCCTTCCTACATTAGACCGCATAAAAAGTGGGCAAGGGTTTCCTTGGTAGCAACGAATGTTCGCATTTATATTAACATGCCTACACCCACGCTTCCCGTAAGACAGACACTTGGGCCTTTTTACATACGATATCTCTATCCCACCCTAACCCTAACATAAATTCATTGAGTAGCATGTAAATATAAATAAGAACACTCGTCGCTACCAAGGAAACCCTTGCCAAAAAGTGTTTTACCGTATGTCCAAAAGTTAAAATGGTCTTTTGCTGGTGTGGTACCTCTGGAACAGTTGCATATCGCACATTAAAATGAAAGGATTCCGCTGAGCTTTATTACTTTTTAGGACAGAAAAGTATTAAAAATTCACAGATACGATGTTTTTTAGAAAACGCATATATATTGTCTGGAATTAGCGCGCTTATTCACAGCCTGTTCCATCTGATTTACGCTGAATAAAATCAGTGACAAGACGCGTCAATAGGAACCCCGCAGCAGTATAAATAGCCTTGCAATAAGTTCTTGGGAGGTTACGGTTAGAGTCGAGGTACACTTGAGGTTTACGTTGGGATGAGGTTCAGAACACGCGAAAATCCACCCACGTTTAATTTTGCTAAACCTGCGTTTTACTAGATCAATTTTAAAGCTGGCATAAATATCTTCGGTAAATCCTTCTCGTGAAATCTATTAGGCCAGCACAAAACGATGCGCAAACGCTAAGACAATCGGTAACACTGAAGATCGTCCGAATATAAGGTAGCGTTCGTTTCCCCACACATCTATAACTCTCCCTTCGAAACAGCACCTTGAGACATATTTTGCACGAGCAAAGAGCGTTTTCGGATACTTCTTCGGCGAGTAAGAAAATTGTTAAAATTGAATTAAACTTATTAAAATTTGCGTCAGCACAGTTCATGAGTTACGCCATTTAGGTTTTTCGATCAATCTTCCAGTGACTTAGGCATGCGCCGATCTCTTCTCCACATCTGGTTACCACGCAGATGTTCGACGATGGCTCACTGCCAGTCATCAGATGATTGACGCAAGTACAGTGTTGACAATTGGTCGAGACCTTCTGGCTGCGATGGGAAAACTCGTCTATGGTTCCCAGGTTTATGTGCCTATCGATGTATCACTCATCCACGTGCGCCGTCTACGGGGCCTCCCTAACCAATTACAAAGTAACTCAAAGTTTTGGCTAAATGGGAGGCAACGACCGACTTAGTACTTACAAACTGTCGTGTCGTTATGGCGTGTAAATAGCCTTTTCCCTCCACTCCCTATTATCGTCATTACTTGCTTGGTTCGAGAACCCAGGAACCGGCCCAGAAGATCGGACATTTGCACGGCGCTCCGGGGCAGTCAAAGCTACATTCCCCACCTACGAGTTGTATCATCCAAAGTTGCGACTATTAACGGATTTCTACCACCTGCGTTCGTGGTGATGCCTGTCTAAATTTCGGTAGAACTTGAAAAGTTCGTCCTCAGCTGTTTTAACTGAAAGACGTGTGAACTGCGACCAAAGCTGTGCCATTCTTAAATTATCTAGGCTCGTTTTTGCGAACCAATCCAGGAGTGAAAACATGTGCAGAAAATTAGGATCGCTAGTACAAAGACAGCCCTTAATAATAAAGTCTGCATACTCAGGCTCCTCTATGCGGATGTCCATCAGAAGCACGAAGAGCTGATGTAACAAATATATTCTAATGCCAGAAAAGAAGCAAAAAAGAACATACAGGCGGAAAAAAATACACAGTGACGTGAAAGACCCGAAAGCATACGTGGGAATACCTGGGGAGGTCATGCGACAGGGGTTGCGGATTGTGAAAGAAATGCAGAAATAACCGGAATTGGTGGAGGAGCGTGCCCAGCGTTGGGGAGAGGGTCTAGACAAAAAATATAATCTCGGGAATCTGGCCGTCCTCCACCGAGGTACCGTTGTTCGTGCAGGCCGCGTAAGAGAAGCGGAAGGTGACCTTGCCAGCGGAAGTGCACTCATGGACAATCTCGCGCAGTCCTCTAGTACCATAGTAAGTGTCCTGACCCTGGGATATAAATGTAAAAAAGAGGACATATCATGAACAGTTAGTTGACGGCCATCCGCAGAAAGTGCTCCTGAGATGCCCATACTCACTCACCCTTTCGTAAACCGAAGAAATATCAAAGAAGCCCAGGCTCAGCAAATCAAACTTATTTGGTTGCCTCCTATGTCATGGCAATATTCGTTCGTGCAAAATTAAACAGCCCTGGCAAACAGAAGATAAAATATGCTTTACAGACCAATACAAAGGATACCGGAATGGCCATTTCTGGCTCAGCAACCGTCAGCAAAGCGCCATAGCACCAGGGAGTGTCGACCCTGAGGTTCGAACCCGCGA